AGGAATTGGACACAGCTAGTCTAGAGATAAGAAGGACTAGGGCTGACATGATAGCAGTGTTCCAGTATCTCAGGGGCTGCCACAAAGAAGAGGGAGTCAAGCTATTCTCCAAAGAACCTGAGGGAAGGACAAGAAGCAATGGGTGGAAACCAGGGCCGGATTTAGATGAAAAGAGGCCCTAGGCTATTCCACTTATGAGGCCCTATAGTGAAAGTGTAATTTTAATTTTGCTAACAATTTGAATGTAGGCCCCTCTTGATCTTGAGGCCCTAGGCTGAAGCCTAGTTAGCCTATAGGAAAATCCGTCCCTGGTGGAAACTAACAAAGGAGAGAAGCAATTTAGAACTAAGGAGAAACTTCCTGACAGTCAGAACAATGAATCAGTGGAACAACTTTCCTCTAGAAGTTCTCGGAGCTTAAAAACTGGAGGTTTTTAAGAAGAGATTGGACAGCCATTTGTCTGAAATGATATAGGGTTTCCTGCCTGAGCAGGGGGTTGGACTAGAAGTCCTCCAAGGTCCCTTCCAACTCAGTTATTCTGACTATACCAGGACACCATACCTAGTTAGAAACTTCCTAACAATGAGAACAATTAACCAGCGATACAGCTTCTAGTTTTAAGATAGAAGAAACTGGACTACCACTTATCTGAAATGGTATAGGGCCGTGATGATTAAAGTTAATGTAAATGAAGCGGGCTCTGATAGATGACCACTGGATAACTTTCTATTCACTCTATTCTAAAAAGCAATGCATCCGGTTGGAAAAAGTACAAACTCAGCCAAAATCCTTTTGGTTCCTCTAGGAGGCCTCTAAGTTGTCAGAAGAAAGAAACATTCTAATGACATACAGCTTAAAGGTTGGTTAGGTCAAGGGGATCCACATGAGTTAAAAGTTGTCTATCGTCAGAAGATGATTTGAGTCTATGCTTCAGTAATCTACAAAAAGAATTATAACTGTTTTGCAAAGAAACTCAGTAATTAGGAAATGTCAATTAAAAATGACAAATGTATATGACCATATGAATTGCTGAGTTAACAGAATCCTTTGTCTAGAAGGGTATAAAACCATTGTACCTAACTTCTGTCTTTGTTCAATGCTTCATGTACAGAGCTTTGAACCTATTGCGCAATATACAAATTGTCTCTGATTAATCCAAAAGTTGTGTTTGTCTTATTAAATCCACAACAAAGTGATGGCCGGAAGTGGCACGCAGAGCCATCTCTCGGGCACGCTAGCCATCACTTGTTGCTCTTCTGGATTCCAGAGCGCACATGTGCACCGGCCAGCTGGTTTTCGTGCGCATGTGAGTGCAGGGAACCGGACAGCAGCTCCCTGGCATGCATGTACACACCAGAAAGCTGAGTTTCCAGTTTCCGGTGCACATGCGTGCTGGCCATCTGGTCTTCGTGCATGCATGCACGCCAGAAACCAGAAGACCAGGTGAAGAGCAGGAAGCTGTTTTTCTGGTTTCCAGCACTCCTGCGCATGCGCACCGAGGATTTCTGGCACATGCGCACGCTCCCATTTTGGCACTCGGTGACTAAAAGCCAACATTGGTATAGGGTCTCCTGCTTGAGCAGAGGGTTGGACTAGAAGACCTCCAAGGGCCCTTCCAGCTCTATTCTCTATTCTCTGGTCCCAGTTTTCGACCTAACCCAGCTAATGGGACTATTGCAAAAAAAAAAAAAAAAAAAGGAGTGGATGCAAAACCTTATCGGTGAATCTGAGTCCTCCCGGAAGAAAGGAGGGACAAAGGTAAATTAAAATATACTGAATACTGAAATTGTGGCAAAAGAAATGTTCTATGAGGGTCTTAGGCAAAAGATCCTCTGATGTCCAAATTTTATTTATTTAATTGCAAAGTTTATTGGCCATTCATCTTACTGCAGGATAACCCTGAGTGGCTTAACAATCTTAAGAATATAAAAACTATGCAAAACCTAAAAGACAGGGGAAAAAATATTGTATTTATAGGCCACCGATAGCAATCCTACATATAGGCAATCCCTGATAATTGAGCCCAAAATTTCAGTTGGTTAAGTGAGACATTTGTTAAGGGAGTTTTGCCGCATTTTACGACCTTTCTTGCCACAGCTGTTAAGTGAATCACCGCAGTTGATAAGTTACCAACCCAATTGTTAAGTGCACCTGGCTTCCCCATTGACTTTGCTTGTCAGACGGTCACAGAAAAAGATCACATGATCCTGGGACACAGCAAAGGTCCTATATATGAACCAGTTGCTAAGCAGCTGAATGTTGATTGTGAGGATGTTTCAAAGGTCGTAAGTCTGACAGATGATCATAGGTCACTTTTTTCAGTGGCGCTGTAACTTTGAACGGTCACTAAATGAGCTGTTGTAAGTTGAGGACTACCCATATTCTCAGAAGGCACAGCATAGCCACTGCTAGCGTGCCAAGACGGTTGGACAGTGGACGGTTTCAGGGGGAGACTCTCTGTACAGCTAGTCCTCGACTTACAAGCATTCATTTAGCAACCGCTCATGGTTACCATGACACTGAAAGAGTGACTTATGACCAGTCCTTGCATTTACAACCATAGCAGCATCTCCAAATTCAGTTGATCAAAATTCAGGCTCTTGGCAATCCGCATGTATTTACAACAGTTGCAGTATCCTGTGTTCATGTGATTGCCGCAGGCAACCATCCCAGCCAGTTTCCAACAGGCAAAAGCAACGGGGTGGGGGTGGGGGGGTGAGCCGGATTCGCTTAATGACCACATGATTCGCTTTACAACTGCAATGATTCACTTAATAATTTAATGCACACGCTCAGAGGCTTTTGGGGCTTACAACATTAGCAGAAGCCTGGCACTCCAGAATTAATTCACACACACACACACACACACACACACACACACACACACACACACACACAGAGGGATCGAGCACCGTGCAACAAAAGAGGAAAAAAGTTTCAGCAAACGAGCTCTTCCCTTTTTAAAAAGTCTTCTGTGGCAGCGCCAAATAAATCAGCTTTTGGCTCTGAGGCGTGGGGAAGTAGCAGAAAAGAGAAGGCAAAATGTCTGGGCCTTCGTCAGTAGTGGTGGTGAATTTCCTAGTGTGTTTTTAAAATCAGTTTATCAGTTTTCTTTTTTGTTTTTGAAAACAAAGTAAGGCTTATTTTAAGGTTTGTAAATAAAGCCGGGGGTGGGTAAGGGTGTATGTCTCAAAAGGTGGAAAAAGTTAAAGTCCTTTAATCCAACACAACTTCCTCCTCCTATTTTCCCCACAACCACAACCCTGTGAGGTAGGTCTGGCTGAGAGAGACAGAGAGAGAGAGAGAGAGGGAGGGAGGGAGGGAGGGAGGGGGAGAAAGAGAGAGAGAGAAAGAGGAGAGAGGGAGGGAGAGAGAAAGAGAGAGAGAGAGAGAGAGAGAGAGAGAGAGAAATTTTACATAGTTTTTAATTATGGCAAATTGCCCAGAGTCGTGAATTTGAGAGGAATGGGCCACATAAATTGAAATAATAAATACAATATCCAGAAAGGTTGGGCTGACATGTTTGGGCATCCCCAACTTTATAGAGAGATTCAGACTACGTACATGAAAGTAGCCTTTTCCCAAGTAGAATGTTCTTGGTAGTTTTGGACTACAACACCCATCATTTTAGCCAGCTGTATTGTGGACCATGGGATCTGCACTCCAAAACTTTGAAAAGCATGACTGGGTTGGGAAAAGTCGGAAAGGAGCCTGGAAGCTGCACATGGCAAACGCTCCTATCCCAGAGCCATATTTTAAGGCGGTGTTAAGTCAACCTCGGATACTTTAAGGTGTGCGGACTTCAATTCCCAGAATTCCCCAGCCAGCTGTGCTGGCTGGGGAATTCTGGGAATTGAAGTATGCATGTCTTAAAATGGCTGCAGTTAAAACAATGTTTTATGGCTTGGAGAAGATGCCACAAGGCTGTTTGCGAGGGGAAACATTGGGCTGAGCCACAGGAAGAAAAACAGTTCTGAACAGTTTTGCAAAGCTCAGGATTTTCCCAGCCACGAAACATACTTCCAAATTTTGCACCCCTTTGGCAGAAGCATAGATCCAGAAAGTATAGATCCAGAAAGATCTGGAGCCTGCTTTGATGTTCAAGATTAGCCAGTCTTGGATTGATTTGCTCGGTCAGATAAAAAAAATTGCACTGACTTCTAAAAAAATTAGATAGGGGTCACCCGAGGCATTTAACCTCTGAACTTTTTCTGGAAGAAGAGATGTCCTGCTATACCAGGGATCCCTGAAGGAAAAGCAATGGGAAAGGGGTATTATCTGGAGTGGGAAGAAAGGCCCAGAATTTCCCCCTCTTCTTTTTGCAGGAAATAGCAAACATATGAAACAGGAGCCTTGTGCCCGCATTTTCTACTAGCAGCATCCACAGGTAGTCCTTAAATACTAAAAAACAGTTCATTTAGTGACCGTCTGAAGTTACAACATCGCTGAAAGAAGGGACTTACAACCGTTTTTTCACACATATACAATCCTGACAGCATCTCCAGGGTTACATGATCAAAAAAGTCAGATGCTTGGCCACTGACTCGCATTTATGAGGGCTGCAGTATGTGATCACTTTTTGCAACCTTGTGACAAGCAAACTCAACAAGGGAATCCAGATTCACTTAACAACCATGTTATTCATTTTAAACAAGCAGCAGTGAGTGATTCGCTTAACAATTGTGCAAGAAAGGACTTCAAATGGGACAAAAAAAACCCGTCTCTCACTTAGCAACAGAAATGTCAGGCTCGGTTGTGATCGTAACACCGAGGACTGCCTGGGTTTGTCAGCGATGCGCCCGCAAGACACATGGGCGAGGGTGGGCAGCGCGGACCACCGGGTAGAGCGAGCCCAGCTTTCCCCACCAAATTTATTTATTTTTATTGCTCAAATTTATATACCGCCCTTCTCCCGAAGGACTCCACCACTAACCCCAGCCCCCAGATCCGGCGTCGGGTCATCCGGACGGCAGGCGCTTCCATCCGGTCTCCTTACTCACCATGGCAAAGCCGGAGAGCAGAGCCGAAGTGCGGCTGGAGGCTTTCAGTTTGGCCCGGCTGAGATAAAGCCGCCGCCAATTCAAGGCGTGCAGCGAGTGTTGGTTGGCGCTCATCAGCTCCAGGTAACTTCGCCGGACGAACTCCCGGTAAGTGGCGGAGACGCCCAGCGGCTCAGACGACTCGGGGTTCAGCGGCTCCCGTTCCCCTTCCGCGCCTTCGCCCTCCGGCGCCTCGGCTCCCCCGCCGGGTTTCATTGGAGCTGCAGAGGAAGGCGGGCGAGCGGGCGGGCGGCTGGCAAGCACCGAGGGGCGGCAGGCAGGGGCGCGCCCTCCTTTGCCCGCCGGGCCGAAGAAGCAAGACACGGGCTGACCGACCCCGCGGGGAAAGCGAGCCGAGCGCGGGGACCGGGAGAAGAAGCGCGGGGTCCCCGGAGACGGCTCACCTTCCGGGCGAGGCCAGAAGCGAATTGCACGGAGGACGCGAACGGGGACTGCAGATCCCGAAGGATCGGAGCCTGCGGAGAGCGCTCGAACAACGGCGGGGGGAAAGGAGGGAGATTCCGCCGAGGGAAGCGAAGCCCGGACGCGGAGCGGCGCCGGGGGAAAAGTTGCGATTCGTGCACGGGCGGCTGCGCTGCTGGGTGGGGCGAGGGAGGGAGGGAGGGAGGGAGGCCGGACCGACAGACGGGGCGGGCGGGGAGAAGCCGCGGGGAGTTTGCTTTGGGGCTTAAAGGGGAAGCGGCGAGGAAAAAGGGGCGGCGGCCGCCAGCCGCGGAAGTCGCTTCTGTGCTGGGTTGCTTAGCTGGACGTGGCCAAAGTGCAACATGTCTGGTTGGGAAGCTGAGGAGGTTGTTGGGGATTTGGACCGGAGACCACCAGGCGATCCCCGGGATGCAGGCCAGGGAGGTAAACAGCGGACACAGCCAAAAGCAAACAATCGGGCAGAAGGTGGTGCCAAACCACTTCTGAACAGCGTGACAGGAACAATCTTTTTGTCCCAAAGGTTCTTTTTCAAGAGGCAACCGGACTTTCTGTTGTTTTTTTTCTTGGGAAACGTTTGGTTTCTCATCCAAGAAGCTTCTTAAGCTGAAGAAGAAGCTTCTTGGATGAGAAGCCAAACCTCTTCCAAGAAAAACAAAACAAAACAGAAAAGTTGCCTCTTGAAAAAGCACCTTTGGGACAACTACAGACATTCTTTAAGATTTTACACTAAATAATAGCTGCTAATCACCTTCTAGCTGATTTCCTGCTAAATAAAAGCAGGAAATCAGCTAGAAGGTCCAAGTGCATCAAAGCCGGGCGGTACCTTCCCCAAACTTGTCAATGTCTTTGGAATTAGGGAAGTTGTAGAGCATCACCCCCTACCACCACCACCCCCAAATTCCAATTAGGAACTGCAAATGCAGATTTACTCAAAAGTAGGCCCTCTGTGTCCAGTAAGGATTACTCTAAAGAGGAAATAGGAATGCAGATGTGATTGCATACTGCATTTCAGAGACAACAAAACAGATATTAGTTAATCGTTAACCATATGGAAAGGTTTATTTTAAAATGGTCGGTCTGAAATGTACAATGTGGATTTTAAAGGGTGAAGCACCTTTTTTAATTCTTTGCTGGTATAATCGCAGTGACTTTTAACCCTGGCAAATTTAAGAATTCCCCGGCCAGCATGTAGCAGTTTGGGGCAGCAACAAATCTTTTTTCGTGGATATTTCAGCATGGATAATCACTGGTGGTCTCCTTTCCAAGTGTTAACTACATTGGTCCTATTTAGCTTCTGAGCCAAAACAAGGTCATGAGCCTATGGCCAACAGTTTAGATATCTTAAAACTAAAAGTGTGCACAATGTTTCAAGATGAAAATCTCTTAATCCTTACTCCTGAAATGTCTCCAAATCTGAAATGATTCTCTTCCCAGAACAGTTTTTACAAGATTGTAGCCGGAACTGAACTTCAGTTTGAGACTGAAATGTATCAGCCATCGTGGTGAAGCCGCCAGGCTAGAAACCAGGAGTCTCTGTGAGTTCTAGTCCTGTTTTAGGCTTGAAAATCGGCTGGTTGACTTTTTGATCAATCACCAGAAGACTGTGAGTTCTAGTCCCACCTTAGTCATGAAAGCCAGCTGGGCGACTTTGGATGTCAGTCATTTTTTGTCCACCCAACCCACCTCACAGGATTGTTGTTGTTGTGGGGAAAATAAGAGGAGGAAGGTGTGTTGCATATATTCGCTGCCTTGAATTATTTGTAAAAATAATAAAGGCGGGATGTAAATAAATAAAATAAACTTGGAAGCTCACCCAAATTAAACTCTTTCTTCCTTGGACTTTCTTGTGACTTCTATTCGAATTCTCAGAGGTGGCTTCTGCATTTGGCAGTTTTTTGTTTTGATAGCTAGAGATCAGGTTGCAGAATCCCGCATCTCATCTCTAGTCATGGAAATTCACTCTCCGTGTCCAAAAAAGCAAATTTCTCTGCCACTTCAGTGTTTTATGCAGCTATGATTTGTTATTTAAACCAGGCCAATGTGGGAAGCCAATCTGAGAGAGGTTGGGAAAAAGGGGAGAAAACTAGAAAGAGCAAATGAATGGGGCAGGAGGGGAGCAAACCGAAAGATTCAAGTTCAGAGAAAAGGAGAAGTTTTCTCTCTGCATGGAGTGAAACCAGGTAAAGTCAACAAAATCAAAATCAGGGGTGTGTGAATTGAACAGAATTAATCTTGAAACAAGGGCAGATCAATTTCAAACTGTGACTGTCCCCCTGTGGCAGACATGGGAACTGCAGGGAAGAAGCTGCTATCCTCTGGAGGACAGCTAACACTTGCCATGTTTTTCTCCAGTTTAAGCAACTTCTAATGAATTTCACGTCTTGTCTTGTACTATCAATAGAGACAGGTATGAGCAATCCATCAGAATGGTGGGTACAGTTTAAATTTCCAGAGCAGAGAGAAATAAATGTTGCATTATGTCGTGTCCCCACTTACAAAGTTATATATAACATTTGCGGGGGAAATAGTGGAACTTATTTTTTTACATAGTGTATGTCCTGTGTGAGTTCATAAACTTATAAGAACACAAGGAGGCAGCATGTGACCTGTTTCCTCCTATTATTGGAACTCATCAGATGTATACAACCAGATATTTGAAGACAGCCCCCTGTCTGAGATGGTATGGGGGTCTCCTGCTTGAGGAGGGGGTTGGACTAGAAGACCTCCAAGGTCCGTTTCAGCTCTATTTTGATTGATTTGACCCTCAGAGAAAGATTTGGCTACATGAGTTTAATGAGTCTCAATATAGACTTGGAAAGGGATGCGGTGGCTCAGGGGCTAAGACGCTGAGCTTGTTGATCGAAAGGTCAGCAGTTCAGCGGTTCGAATCCCTAGTCCCTCATAATGGGGTGAGCTCCCATTACTTGTCCCAGCTTCTGCAGTTCGAAAGCACGTAAAAAATGCAAGTAGAAAAATAGGGACCACCTTTGGTGGGAAGGTAACAGCGTTCCATTCACCTTTGGCGTTGAGTCATGCTGGCCACATGACCACGGAGACGTTTTTGGATAGCGCTGGCTCTTCGGCTTTGAAATGAAGATGAGCACTGCCCCCTAGAGTCGGGAGCAACTAGCACATATCTGCAGGGAAACCTTTACCTTTAAAGACTTGGAACCACGCTCTCTGGTGGGTTTTTTGAGAATGACAAACGTATTTATGTCAGCTCTCATCCAGCCACTGGATTGTATTTATTGATCAAGCTATAATCTCACCTTTCATTCAGAAGCCCAAAGAAGCATACATACAGCTTCCTCCTGTTTTCTTGCAGAACAACCACCAGAGTAGATGGTTGGGCTGAGAGTGACTGGCAGATGGCAGAAGGTGGACTCCTGACCCAATCCACCCCTCAACCCCACTGGCTTTCATCTTGCTCCAATGCCAGCTAGGAGACCCATAAAGCTCCTGAATATTTCCTGCACCTATTGGTCATCTTGGTTGTTCAAGCTTGATGATGATCAATGTTATTTGAAGAACTGGGTTGAGGAGAAGATGGCTACCTTAAGAGCGATCTGAATTTGACTAAAGCAACCACGAGTTTTGCAGTATTATAAGAGCCTTGGTAGTACAGTGGTCTAAAGCACCCTGTTATTAAGACCAGCTGCCTGCAATTACTGCAGGTTCGAATCTCGCCAGGCTCAGGGTTGACTCAGCCTTCCATCCTTTCTAAGGTAGGTAAATTGAGGACCCAGTTGTGGGGGCAATAAGCTGACTTTGTATAAATATACAAAAGTATGAAGGCTATTGCTTAGCGCACTGTAAGCCACCCTGAGTCTCCGGAGAAGGGCGGCATATAAATCAAATAAAAATAAATAAATAAATAAAATAAAAATATAATGATATAATCAGTGGTGGGTTTCTACAGGTTTGCACCGGTTCGGGCAAACCAGTAGTGGTAATTTGGCCTAGGTTGCCGAACCGGTAGCGACTGCCGGCTGGCCACACCCCCCAAACCAGTAGCCCGCTCGCTGCTCGCCACTCACTTGCCCCGCCCGCCTGCTGGGAAACGGCTGGCAAAGAGGCAGCAGCTGGGAGGCTTCTTGCAGTTGCATCGAAAAAGAAAAAGCCTCCGAGTTGCTGAAAACTACTGGAGGTCGCCAAAAAAGACACTGCCATCGCATCCCATTGCCTGCTGCGTCAGTCTGAGCACAACACAGCAGGCAATGGGATCCGCGTATGTGGCCGGTGTGAAGAACACGGTGACGGCAGTGGCTTTTTCAGTGACCTCTGGTAGTTTTTGGCGGCCTGCGGCCAGCCGCTGCCTGTTTGCCAGCCGCTTCCCGGCAGCGGTGGCTGGCTGGAGGCTGCCGAAAACTACCGGAGGTCAGCTTGCTTTCCGGACTCCGGACCAGCCGCCACAGGAGGAAGGTAAGCAACCTGAAGAAAGAGGTGGGGGAGGGGGAGGAAGTGGGGGAAGGGCTAGGGCTGCTGAAGGAGGGGAAATGGCGTGATGCGTGAAACTGGAGAAAGGAGGGCGGGGCGGCATGCAGGAGGTAGCCTTTGATAGATTAAGCCAGGCCTGAGCAGAAAATAAGTAGATAGGTAGAAATTCAAAAAAATTTCCTATCTTTTTCTGTGGGTGTGGCTAGGTGGGGTGGTCATGTGACTGAGTGGCCATGGCTGTGAGTGACATCAAGTTGGCCATGCCCACTCAGTCCCATGACCAGCAAGCCACGCCCACCAAACAAGCCACACCCACAGAACCGGTAGTAAAAAAATTTGAAACCCTCCACTGGATATAATGATTCTGATATAATGTGTCTACTCATTCAGAGAGATCTCTGTCAAGCCAATATTCAAGCAACGAATTAAAATGGACATCCTTCCACTAAAATTAGGCCTCCGTAAATGTGTTTTGCCTCAAGAGACCCATATGATTCTTAGTTGTTTCTCCTAGGACTCGGAAACCTCACAGAAAATGTAGAAAGACACAATTGGACTAGTGGTGGGATTCAAATTTTTTTACTATTGGTTCTGTGGGTGTGGCTTGGTGGGCGTGGCATGGCTTGGTGGGCGTGGCAGGGAAAGGATACTGTAAAATCTCCATTCCCTCCCTACTACAAGGGAAGGT